AGGAAATATATTATATATTAAATGTAAGCAGAACTCTACTCTTTTAGCTTTCACTCATACATTATTAAAAAGTTGTAAAAAAATATGTTCCCCAAATCAAAGTTAGGATTGGTTCTTTAGAGTTCTTAAAGCCAAATATACTTTTTCATACATCTTGAAAGGTGTTTTAAAACAATAAAAACACTAAGCACTGTCATTCTAGTTATTGTTTAATATCTATTTACTTTCAAAGATTCTAATTTAAAAGCAAATCTGTGACTTTTAAATGAAGTGTAATATCAATGTATTGATTTTGGTGTCAATTTTATGATAAAGTTGTACATGCAGTCTTGACCAGATTCGACTTAACTGTACTCAACTTATGCTGAACCTGTCATCAAAAAACATCAGCTCACTCAGTTTTTTCAGAAGTCAGAACTTCCATGTTACTGTGTATTTTTTGAAAAATAATTTTGAAATATTTCCTGACTGTTTCCATCAACAAACAACTCAGCTGAACACCCAATCTGTAGACATGTAATACATAAATATGTTTACAAGTATCTTTATTTTTTATATTGTGGATATTTTCAATTCAACATTCGAATTTTCTAGCTCTCCATCCACGATGAGGAATACATCTTCAACTTGAGCTGATTGTGGAACAGAAGCCCCATTCCCATTGCTCTACCCATATTGATTGATTGATTATTGATTGATTGATTGATTGATTGATTATTGATTGATTTATTGATTGATTGATTGATTGATTGATTGATTGATTGATTGATTGATTGATTGATTGATTGATTGATTGATTGATTGATTGATTGATTGATTGATTGATTGATTGATCTCACAGTGAGGAAATGTACTTGTTACATCAGCTCAAATAGTCAAAGAAGAAGAATGTGCCAAAGGAGGTAAGATGCTAGCAATAACTAATAAACTGAGGAAAATGAGGTCCAGTAACCAACATTTGGAGTTAAGTTTTCTATTCCTGCAGGTGGCCATAATGAAATATCTAATGAAGAAATGCTTTGATCAGCACAACATCATCAAGTTTTACCACTGCTTCAGCTCCAACTCCTGTCTGGTGTTTGAATTGTATGACAGTCTAAATAAATACATTATGCAACAAGGCCCTACTATGGATTTACAGGACATCAGAGAAGTTATAAAGCAAGTATGGCATCAACTTAAAAAGGGGTTATATCCATGCAGAAGTTGAGAATATTTAAGATGCAGATGCAGTTTGTGTTTTTCCTTTTTTTCATAATCATGTCTTCAGTTGGAAAAAGCTTTAGACGCATTGAGGAAATCTGACACCACCCATACTGACCTGAACACAAATAATATGGTAGTGGATGAAAAGAGAAAGCCATTGAAGGTTAAGCTGATTGACTTTGGCTTGGGTGTCTTTACACACCAGGCTAATCACACTATCCATCCATGTCATTCACATAATCAAGATATGTCAAAATACTTTGTTACCGCTAAATTGATAAATTCCTTCTACAACCTTATATTCGACTGCAATATTAGGAAATAAGGGCTTTTTAGTGATACAGTAATATCGCATATATTTTCTAGGTTTAGGTTTCCTGAACTCATATTGGGGCTCCCATGTTCTGCAGCTATAGATATCTGGTCACTGTGATTTGTAACAGCAAAGAAGCTTTTGTGCTGTGAACCTTTCCTCAGTGAATAGGAAAATGTGAGCTTACTGGACTTGTATAGCTTGAAAATACATTTACTATATATATACTATATAAACACATTTTTTCCTGTAATTTCTAAATTTTAAAGTCTCATTATTAAAAATGTGTAAAAATCTCCAAAAAGGTTTATGTAGCACAGTGTAAGAGGCTGCCTCCCTCCCCACCCCTGTTGCTGTGCAGTGCCGTTCCCCTGTCTTAAAAATGAGCAATACACTTTTTCCTTGCAAATCAGTAAGACAAATTCCGTTTACAAAAAAAAACAATTACTGCATTTAGCCTTTTGAAAAAGAGAAATAACAATTCATCTAAAAATGTGTGCAGGATTTCACTAATATAATTTTTTCTGAAGCATGAAATACATTTTCTATTAAGTTTTTAAGGAGTTTACCCGTAAAATAATATTTTCATAACAAATATATATTGAAAAATCCATTAGGAAATTATAATATTTTATTAAATTTCTTGTAGAAAACAAAAAAAAAATGTGTTTCCCTTTCAGAATTTTACCATTGCTTTCATTTGTCATCCAATGGTGTGATGATCAATGGTGCATTATTTAATCTATTAGGAAACCTTCATGGCCCCTTGTTTTGTTTTCTATCAGAGTTCAGTGTAGCAATTTTCTGGTAAAAAAAAAATATGTGACAGCAGTTTTAAGAAAAAATTATTTTGAGAGGTCAATTCATTGCTGTTGAAAATCTGTTTTTTTTTGTTATATTGAACCTTAAGAGGGGGCTCAATCTACCCCTTTTCTAAGTTTATCAGAATTGAAGTTTTTTTTTATCATTTTTTTTTTTTTTTTTTTTTATTATTGAACTCCAAAAGGTATTTCCTGTACATATTTTTTTGTTTTATTTTTGCTGTGCTATAGTTGACCTTCGTGGACCATCATCAGACCATCTTGTTGGTGCTGACAGTAAATCAGCACAATATTTTAGAAGATTGGAGTCCGATCAGTGGATACTAAAGATACATGTGAGGAGAATCTTGCGTGTTTGAATAGAAGGCAAATAAGTTTTCTTTCTTATTTCTTGAAACATTGCTTTGAAGAAAAAAATACAAAAAAAATCCACCCAGAATGCTTTTTAACCAAAGCCTTTAATTAAACATTGCTTTGTTTTTTAAAGTTGAGTTGACAGTGTGCATGAAGAAATTTGGTGTTCTTATCTTTGCATTTTAAAAGACATCAACCTTTTCTTTGCAGACACCTGTTGAGTACTGAGGACAGGAACAGCATTTGAAATACAAAAAAACCCTTCAGCTCTCACTTTTTGCATCAAGCTAGAATGGAAAGTATTTGATTAAATAAGTCATCAACTATCATGGAGGACTTCCTGACCTTGATACAACATGCCATTTTGTAATTTTAGAGTCATCTCAAATTTAAAGAACTGGCTGCAAAAGATGAGATGAAGGAATGCATAGCACCGGTGAGAGCAATGCTTCAGTGGGATGCCAAAGGCATCCTGAAGCACCCCGTTATTACCAGAAACAATACCAACCCAAGCAGCTCTTTCCATCTCCCTACTGATACATTTGGACAGGAACCGTGGCAGCTGATTCTACCACAACCCTGAGCACAAGTCAGGGAATGAAAGGAGCCAACAGCATTCTCCATCTACCCCAAGAAAGGAGAGGTACAGCTGACAGCTAAGCATCACTGAGAACCTTTCAGGATTATTTACTCTCACCAAACACTGCATTAGGTACACCTGTACTTTGCCCTGTCAACACAAATAGACCCTCAGTTAATCACACAGCAGCAGCTTTATGGATTTAAGCAGACATCCTGTTGGAAATCAAATTGAGCATTAATATTGAGTGTTAGTATTTTTTATTTTATTTGTTTATTTTCTTAACTCTGTCACTTATTCTGTTATTTTTATAAACTTTTTCTAAGGTCCACATTGTGTGTCCACTTCTGCTAAAACCTTTTGCTACTATTGTAATGCCACAGTTTACCCATTGTGGGACAATAATGGCGTTTTCTATTATATTCTGTTCCATTCGTTTCTATTCTAGAATAGGGAAAATAGAAGATCTAAGAGCCTTTATATGATACATGATTGATTGTGCCATGTTAGTTAGTCTTAGGGTTTAAGAAACAGCTCATTGACTGAGTTTCGGATAATAACAGGGAAAATATCAAATGAGCGGCAATGGTGGGGATGAAAATGACTTGCCAATGTCAGAGGCCACTGGAAACCAAACACACAAGTTTGAGATGATAGAAAGGTATCCATTTATTGTTTGCACAACTAAAACAACTATTGTATGAGAAATACAATTTCTTAACAAAGCACTGAACCTTTAAGCCAATGGGCTTTAGAAATTGAAGTTGATATTATGGTTTTAAAGGGCCCATCAAAATTCAAAACACAATGGCTGGAATGAATGTTCCCTGGTTTGGACTTAATTAATTCAGCTTGTAAGATCAGTGTGATATGAGTAATGAATGATGCTGGCCAAGAGCTCTGGATTCCCAGTCCATCCATGCCTGCTGCGCCCGTAGTTGTGCAGTCGTGGTACCGCATGTGCACAAGTAATCAGATTTTTAGTTTCCTGATTTCGTTTCACTCATTGTCAGGTTGTGGTGGATGACTGGATTGCATGGAATACAGTAGAAACAAATCTAACTGTCTTTCAATGAAAATCTTTAATCTGGACTCATTTTGGGGATTAATGTGTTTTATACCTGTTAAAGGTGTAACACTGGGGCTTCTCAGGAAAACATCTAAGCAAAGGCGTCTGAGGCTTAGGTCTAATTTCTTATTAATCAGAATTTGAAGCAAATCCTCAAACCAACAACGTTGTTTCGTTACCTAAAAGTTAAACTCAGGATTATTTTCAGAATTACACATACCGGTAGGCTGCCATGCCTTATACTTATAAATACTCTCCTGCTGTTGTGGTATTGAAGGATGTAATCAGTTTTAATACACACCAATCATCTCGTTATGACGAGAAAATGGCTTTCGTTACATTTAGATAATGAGAAAATTAACTCGTTTTACCGAGAAAACCAAGGTGAAAAAGTGGGACACGGCCGCTCTCGGCTTCCGTAGTTATAGATGGTTGTCTGTTGAAGATATAAACTAGCTGGTGTGAAATGTTTTTAAAACTTTTAGTATATAATGGATATGTCTGTTTTTTTTTATTTATTTTTTTTAGCTTTTTAAGAACGTTCGTCGTTACAAGAAGAAAAAAATGTGTATTTGTGTGGGAAGTCGCGCAACTTTTCTGTAGTACCTATTTCTATCCTTTAGGAGGCACCAGAGAAATGAAGGGGGACCGGAAGTCCATCACATAGCGATGGAGACATTTTAAAATAAACACCAAGCTAACTGCTAACAGAGCTGCAAGCGCACTGCGTCAAAACACATAAAAATAATCAACCATTCACTGATCGCTTCTCTGTTACGAACGTAAATCAGGAAAAACGAAACTCTCCTAAAATGCCAAAAAGTCTGATGTCGATGTATGAATAACTAACGCTGTGGTAAGTTTGAACCAACAGATGCTATGTGTAGGCTAGCACCTTTAGCATTAGCCTTTAGCTGCTGACTTGACCCTGCAACCTGGCTGTTCCAACTCAGGCTGGGTAGATAGTGTTTCCATTTATAGGATCTTGCAGCGCAGCTGTCCTGCAGCCCGGCTTTTAACGACTTGTGCTTTTCTAGTCAAGTTTGTGGATGTTGAGTTTTTGACCGAGCTTAGCTTCACTGCGCAGCAATAAGATCGCGTTAGCTGTTAGTCAAAGACTGAACTGACTGAAGTCATTCTTCAGGTACAAATCTATTCTTATTTTAAGCTAAACGTGAACCGTATTTATTATTTTTGTATATTTTAACGAACTTAAATTGCCTTAGGTTTGCATACTTGTTCGCATAAATTTTAATAAGCGTTAACACTGCATATGAAGAAAATGTCAGATATTGGAGATGACAGTGTATAATGCTGTAAGGGTAATAATAATGTCAGGTTTCAGTTGCGTATATGGTATGTGTATATATGTGTGTGTGTATATATATATATATATGTATATGTGTGTGTGTATATTTATATATGTATATGTTTTAAAGCTAACTTGACCCTCTAAGTCTTGTACTTATAGTATTACACACCAGTATATTTGCATTTATTAAAAAATCCAACATAATCGTAGTGAGAAATGCACAAATCATTGCAGTTTGAAGGAAATTTAAAATCCAAGTGTTGCTTTTTGATAGTTTCCAAGAACCTGCACAAAATATATAATGAATTAAAGGTGTCAACTTTCAGTAGAAGTAGTCGATGGTGATTTTTTTTTTTTGTGCAGGTTAGTCAATTGAGTGTGAGCGTCTGTATGACCAACTGTAGATATTGTTTAAATATTACGCAACCATGAATTAATAATGTATATGAATCTAATCAAAATTTGATCCAAGAGGTTTTTTTTTCTTTGTTTTTGTTTTCCAGCTGGTAAGTTCCTGTCCAGGCACATCGGTCCATATCTCCTGGACCTTTGGGCTCTGGGCTTCACTTTCTCAAGAAATGGCGGATTCTGAAAAGTCAGAGGAGTTTTTGGATGCGGAATGCCCTCCTGAGTGTCTTGCAGAAACACAGACGGCTACGCCTTGTGCTCAGGATGAACATCTGAAAACGGAAACAACTACTAGTACGAGTTCACCCCCCAGGGAGAAGGAAGGAGACAGTCCCTTGAATACTGAGGGAGAGCAAAGTCTCCTCTCCATGCCATGCCTAATGAAGGAGCTTCGCCGAGACTCCCCAGAGTCTCAACATGCCTCCACAGGAAGTGACAAGCCTGTGTCACGTCACATCTATGAGAGCGACTCCTCGAATCCCTGTATGTTGTCTCCGTCTTCCAGTGGCCACCTGGCTGACTCAGACACACTCTCCTCAGGGGAAGAAGGTGCTGCTGCTAATGCTGGAGAAGAGGGATCTATGGAAGCTGAAAATAATCCTGGTCTGTTAGAAAAGAAAGAGGGGTCTGCAACAGCTTCAGGAGGAAGAAAGTCTCGCCGATCACATTCGGAGAGTGAAATGCCTTCTAACGCGATGGCCGCAAAGAAGAACCGCTGCCAGCCAACAGCGATGACACCAGGGCAGGAAAAACAAACCAATGGCAAGTTGGGAAAAGTTAAAAGTCACCGGAGTCAAAAACACAAGGAGCGCATGCGTCTACTGAGGCAGAAACGAGAGGCGGCAGCTCGAAAGAAGTATAACCTCCTGCAGGATAGCAGCACCAGCGACAGTGAGCTCACATGCGACTCCAGCACCAGCTCCTCAGATGATGACGACACTTCTGGTGGGAGCAAGACAATCAAGACAGATATTCCAGGTAACTGCATTACCCTTACACAAGCATACAGCACATTAATACACCTCCAGCTTTCCAGATTCTATGTGTTAAATGCTGCAATGAAACACAAATTGTTACATACTTCTTGATCATCTACGAATGAGTAATCACTGTTTAATCAGTGCAACAGGTTAACTATAAGGTTTTTTTCTGCATGAAGAGGTTTAGGAAATTTCAAATTATAGTATACATATAATTCATTTTGTCACCGTAATGCTCAGCTTGCTTTTTGTACCTGTTTTATCAGTCACTGTTTTTTACGTTTTCTAGTGTTTTTTGCCATTCATCATCTTAAGTCTTTCACATTGTCTTTAAACATGTAGTTTCTTTAGAGGGTTTACATTCAGTGTCTTATTTGCCATTATGTTTTTCTCTGTTCTGTCCCATCAATGCATGCTTGAAACGTAGTCAACATTGTTCAACTCACTGATTGATACTGATTTCAAGTCAGTGGTTAGATTCTTTCTGTAGTTTTAACAAATGAGCCATCGATACTTTCACTTTGTTTTCTTAACTGACTTGAGCGACAATCTTACTACATTAGCTTTAGCCTTTAAAACTGTAACTTGGAATAATTTTTTCCTATATTAAGGAGTCACTGAATGCCTGCATCAGGCAAAGTAGGGTTAGATGTAACTCTCAGTCTCAACTAATGATAATTTTGCAAATCGATTAATCTGTCGATTATTTTTTCAATTAATAATCGGATAACCAAAGGTTCCTTAAAGAAGATTTTTTTACGTAATTAAACCAGGTGAAACAAAATCTTTTCCACTTGAGGACTTCTGGATAGAGCATATTGAAAAACAAAAAGTTTTTTTTCCCATCTTAAATGCAAAATTTGTATTCCTTTTCAATGTTGATATAATTACTGCTCTAATTGGGTTGCTCTGTCTGCTAAAGGCATGGCCTAAAGTCTCTATGCTCCAGTTAACAATCGATTACTAAATTAGTTGACTATTATCCCATTATATTGATAACTGATGGCTGACATCTCACTGAAGATGTTAAGCTAAAGTAAGGTGTAAAAATCTACAACAAACATGGATCTGTAGGAATGCCCCATTTAGAATTTTGCTGCACATTTCCGGTTTCATGTTTTTGTAAATAGTTGACCTGCAGTCAGAAATGTTAAGCGGGTTGGTGTTCCTTTTAAGGAAATGTAGGTGTTTTTCTCTGTCTTTTTTTACAGCCTTTATGTTGTGAGGTAATCAGACTGCTCTGTTCGGGCAATGATATTTTAAACTGGCTTTAGAATCTTTTATTATAGTGTAGGTGCATTCGTTCGTCTATTATTACTAAAACAATCTCTATGGAAACCGTAGAAATTTTAAATCCTAACCATTAATCTCACATTTCCAAAAGACTTTCAACATTTTCAAATCCAACTTATTCATAGCATTAGGGTACTGAAAGCAAAAAAAAAGAAAGAAACATTTATTATACAATAACAGTTCCTGCTGTATGTTGAAAGTCTCCCACTTGCAGTTTAGATTAGAACAATTTCAGTATATAAGTTTTATACATTTACTGGTGTTGTCAGCAAGACCTGTATTCAAATCCTTCAAAATTCTAGGGGTATCCAAATTGAATATTGACCATACCAAATTTTCTCAATACAGTGGCAGCATGAATCATACATACTTGCAAACATTTTGTTGTGTAGCATTATAGAAAATACTAGATCCAGTATTATTAAGCAAACATAGACCAATATTCACGAAAAATACTCATTTATTATTAACAATGGGTTATTGAAACTTAACAGAGGTGCAGCGTTTCTATCAGCTTGCTGATATCGAAACAGATGTATTCAGATAAGCGATTTTTGACAGATATCGAACCAATTTCTGAAATCTATCAGATGGGAACATCTCTATAAAATTCAACACAATTCAATTTTCTTAGCCAACCTACTCAGATCACACCGCATTGGAAACTGAACTAGCACAATATCTGTTTTGTTTTTTTTGTTTTCTAACAAACTTAAGACACACTAGATGTTCTCCTTGTAGATCTATAGGATCAAATAATTTGTTTATGCATATAAAATCCACCAAAATAATTTAGAATTCTAGCTTCTCCACAGTTGATACACCTGCCTATATAGAAATTGAAAACATTTGGATGCTAAAAACAAAGGCAGTTTAACTGTTGTTCTGTGTCAGTTTCTTAATTGTTTCTGTCTGATTTCCGCATTGATTACTGACTGCTTATGAGCACCTGTGGGCTGAGTTACGGCAAATTGCAGAGCCGCCAGGGCCGTAAATCCAGGGTGAAGGCTCAGGTGTGAGTTGAAGTGTCCATTATGACTTCCGGGCTAATATTCAAGAAGTCTCTTCTTAAGCATTTCAGGCTCTGAAGATTCTCAAACATTTTCTTTTAGATGGATGGGTGTACTTCAAAGTCTAACTAGATAATTTCCCAACCCATAGTCACTGAATCGTTCACCAACATACCCAGTTTTCTTCCTTTAGGTAACTCTTAGTACATGAAATCCTTTCAGCCATTTTTACATCCTGGATACTATTTGAGTGCTGCAACTGCATGATATAGTCCATCAGCATGAACGAGTCGATCTGCACGTAACCCAAAACAGACCTTCATTTTCTCTTTAATACACAAGTCCACCTCAGAAGCATGAAAATGCTACTGTATTTTCTTATGGCTTGGCCTCAATGTCTTTAAAGCTGGCTTCAGACGTGCGTCGGAGAGATCCAGAGTGGGAGCCCAGATTCATGGGCTGCTGGACACCAGTTCGTGGGACAGGAACGGCATCAGCAGCGTTCTGGAGGAGGCCATGACGCGTTTTGCCGTGATGCAGCGCCAGACCGAGGAGCGCTTCCGCATCTGGATGGAAAAGCTGGCACACCTCGACTCGGACAACGATTCGTCCAAGCGCTCAAGTGACGCCCCTGAGGGGCAGCAGGTGGCCCAGCTGTCGCCCCCAAGTTCTTTTTTGCCATCGTCGGAGTCTGCAGAGACTATGGCCGCCTACATGCTGGCACGAGAGAACAACAGTCTCACTCCCACTCCAATGAACAACAATAACATCCTCCCCGAAGCAGTGGCTCAGAATGGGAATCTAGGTGTTCCAGATCCTGGTCTCTTGAATGTTTAGTGCTTCAGTTCATGTAGTTTGATTCACAAAATCTAGTTCTAGTTGATGCTGAAAGAGTGGTAGTGATAGTGAAACGATTTGAGAGTCTCTGAGCAAATACACTATTGACAGCAGCCAGACCTGAGGTGGTCATACAGTCTTGCTTCTGTTCAGACCTTGAGCTCAGTGTTCCCTTTGGCCCTGAATCACTGTGAGATTTGACATTCAGAGTTATCCAACTCAGCTGTTTGATTCCTGCTGCTTCTGTGACATGGACACTGAATCTTTTCCAACACTGATAAATCAATCAGGGCTGTTATTCTAATATAGGTTGTTTGGCTTGTTTGTTCTCATTTAACAGCTGTCTGTATGCATACAAAGTATCTGATTCATACTGAAGTGCACATTATGCCACCTGGGCAGAGGTTACTACAGTGCTAGGTGGGGTGCTGCTGAGTAATAGCATGTGCCTTGTCCCTCTAAAGCATTTTAGTGCCGTTTCTGTAGCAATCAGGTTTAACACTCCACATCGTTCATTGTCTCTTGAACTATTTGCACCAAGCTTGCAAATGGTCCAGGAAGATCTATCAAACAGCTTTCTATCTTGGTGGCATAGCTTTACTAACAGCAGAACATTTATCATAAATTTGCCTATAAATATAAATGCAATATACTTGCCATAAAAAATGTTTTCTGTTACTAGCTATTACATGTTTTATTGTTGGCCTTTCCATTATATTTCTTTTCTTTTTTGTAGCAATCTAAGCTACTGAAGGAGAAACGTTATCTCCTGTTTGTTTTTGTTTTCTATGTCAACTCTTAGATACTGTGGACTTTAGAAAAACTGCTAGATAATTGTGTGGCAGTAAGCTGCAAGAGTGACAGTTTAACATTGATGTATTTGCCTTGTTTGGTTTGCACTGGTTTTGTCTCCCAGGTTGGCCTTGAGCTCCATGAGACACTTGTAGTAGCTTAAACTTGAGGGTTAAATGAATTGAAGCTGCAATATGGAGCATGGTAATGTTTACAAATATTCCTGAAAAAAAGAAAGAAGAACAGACTGATATGACAGACTGATTAATGCTATGTTCTGTGGTTCTTATTCTGTGGTCTAATGAAAAATGCTCATCCTGTTCCCTCTTCTTACACTAAACTGGACAACATTTGATGCCCTGTAACAGCGGTTCAAGCCCCAATGCATTTTATTACAATCCTATGTGAAATTGCAGAACAAAGAGGTGAATCAATTGGGAGATGATACATAGTTTAAAAATCTTATTGGGAATGAAAACCTAATTGGTTAGCCCGCATTATTGCTGAACTCTCCTGAGTCAGCGCTTTGTACTGTCAGCTAGCATTAGGGAGGAGTCTTGGCATTGCGATACGATAAGAGTCATGACACTTCGGTCCCAATACAATATTATCACGATATTGCAATATCACTATATATTCCGATAGTTTTCCCAGATATTAAAATTAATCGTATAAATAAAAATGCAAGTGCTGTATATCAGTTCATCAGAACATATTGATCATTCAGTTGTTTTTGTATCGTTGTTTGGGGTTTGAGTCAGTCCATGTCTTCCACTGTGACTGCTTCAACTATAGATATGGTGCTGCGCTGCACAGATATAGGGCTCCCAGCGCTATCTGCCAGAGTGGTGGTGCAGAGGTCGCCCAATTTGACCTCATTGTTTTAGGTAAAAAAAAAAAGTTTTTATTTTTATTTTTTTATCGATAGTAGGAACTGAAAGATCAAAATTATATTGGTCACCCAAAAATCCCGATATATCTCCAAATCGAACCTTCCACCGCAGTGCACATTTTTTAGGTGTGTCTTCAAAAACCTGATGTGTTTAGATAACGTGATTTTTGGCCTATTGTCTTTGGCATAATGGCTCAAGATAAAGTAGAATAGATGGATATTTACTTGAACAACACTTTTCAACCTTTTAAAGAAATGTTTGTTTTACATCGGAGCCTGGCCCATGCCATTCTAATATGAATATGCCTCAAAATAGGCTTAAATCAGAGTAACTAGCCTTTCACATCAACCTTTTAAGTCTGTTTATATGCTTTAATTTGATTCCTGTCAATTTCTGGTTGCATGTTGGAGTTTTGGTGCAGGTGAGTCCTGCTGATACCGCCAACATCTTTTTCCACATGTTATCTTATTTTAAAGCTGCAGCGGGGAATTCAGAGAAAACGGTGGGCTTACAAGCACACCTTACAGGTCCTTCTCTCTTGGTCTCTGCTGCACTACAGCTCTTCCCCCATAACAGAGCCCGCCGTAAAAGCAGGGCCATCCATGGCTGCGAATAAACAGCCATGCCACACTCACTGGTAGGAGAGCATGACGGCAATCTTTAGCTTGGATGTCAGGGCAGTTATGTAAAATCTTTGGGAGTAAAAAAAAATTCATGAAAGTTACCCGCTGCACCTTTAAAATGACCCGAGACCAGTTAGACTCTCTGAGATGCGTTTTTTTTAACCACGTATAATTTCTTTGTCATTTCACTGCTTTGTACTTATGTGCAATTTTAATACATTTGAATTTAATAGTTTGTAAAGCTAAAAAGGTTCAAGGAATAACATTTGGAAGTTTCTGTATAAAACCCTATGGTAACATCCATAACACACAACACTACAGACAAGCCGTTATGAGTGGAATACTCGACCCATAGGTTTTAATGGCTGGGAGTGTAGGAAATATTTATGTAAACGTGTGTCTGTTTTCCAGATCTCAAAGCTGAACGCATTGATGCCACACCTGTTTGCATGTGATTATATAACCGTGTGGTGAAAGGCCAAATTAGTTTTCATCAGCAGCATGTGTGCAAGGTAGAGCTGTGCTTGATGCTGATATGAATGGCGACTGGCGGGACATTTTTATCACTTGAATTCTTTACTACTTGCCCTGTGATTATTGTTTGGGATTTTATGATTTTTTTTTTAGCCGTTTGGATTTAAGTAGATCCAGGATCTTCCGTTTTGGATTTACAAAAAATCAGTTTACTAACATTATGAAGAACACTTGGTGCAAACAATCAAAATGTGCATTGAGCAGACTAAGGGACAGTCCGTTGTTTACCAAAGAGACTCTCCTGGTTTACATTAGTCCTTTTTCTACCATTAAAAGCTGAACTTTATAATTGGAGGAGCTCAGTTTCCCTAGTTACTGTGGTAGAAGTCTATTTCAGCTCTATCAGCTGTTCTTAAGTTCTTGCATTGTACATGCAGTCCAGACAAACCTGCTGAAACACCTACACACATGTCTGGATAATGGTAAGCGTACCACTCTGAGGGGTTCTCTTTACAGGGTAGATTACCAACGTGTGCTCCTGTTCTTCCACAGTTACTCTTCCGTTGTTTAGCTGTTTATCATCTGAACTGTGTTTCACAGAGCAAGGTTATTTTTAAGTGTTTTGTAAAAACTGTAGTGTAGTTTTTATGTGGATGGCTATTATTTTAAAATCAATAAATAAATGAAAAAAAAAACCTGCTGCAGATCGGTTATTTTTGTTAACTTAAATATACAACTATTCATATTTAAAGTTTTGCATGTTTTTTAATTATGTTTTTTAAGCACATAGGTGGATTTTGTTTATTTTATTTTTTATTTTAGGGGTATTTTTGGTGACACTTGGAAGATGCTGCAGCTAACTGTGTAGATGCAGCGTCCATTCTGTTCCAACCCAACCATCTCCTGAAGGCATGGTTTGAATAATGAAGTGTTTTCTTTGTCTCCTGCAGACGGGCCTCCGGTAGTGGGTCACTATGATATTTCAGGCACTGATTCTAACCAGGAGAGTATGAGTGTGGAGACAGTCCGGCCTACGGTGATAAGGCATGAGCTAAAAACACACAGAGGCCAGGACATGGCAGCACACTCTGGGTGTATAAGAGCTCTGAGCTCAATTTCAGGTCAGTTACAAACCCGGTGTATCCAAACTGATCATTTCCTCTCAGTCAAGTGCGGTGACTTTAAAAGGGTGTCTTCCATAAGCAACGGTGGGAAAAACAGGCTTTTTAATCTCAGCGTGAGGCCTTTTGAAGTACACTTTATCCCACACAGGCATAACTGGGGTTTTCATGTGGTGGTGCAAGGGGGAAAAAAAAGATACGCTGCTTCCTCAAAGGGAAAAAAAACAATTAAATTGTTTTATTGATAAATGTAACAATGAAGTCTGTCCTCTGCAGATGTGCTTCCTCCTATCTAATCAGGCTTTCTATAAGTAACCGTCTCCTCGTGTTTTTTTTTCTTTGTCAAAGCATCTGCAGTCTTCATGTGTCGGCAAGGCCTGAAGCGCGCTACTGCTTTGATCCTCCTCCTTATGTATGACTGTCCCTCTTATTTTATTTCAGGCCATGCGGAGGCTGAGCTGTCGCACAAAGGCCAGATTAACATTGCTTCCTCAGACAGTGAGGTGGAAATAGTCGGAGTACAAGAGAACACAAGGTAACCACCAGTTGCTTTGCTTTTGTTTTTCTACTTTGTTTTAAGCTGGGCTTGCACTTTAATTTCTCTTTTCTTTTCATATCCAGATGCGCCCATCCGTGCGGAGGGGTGATAAAGAGTTTGTCTTCCTGGAATGATAACTCAGTGGAGCAGTTAAACAGCACAAATCAATCACAGCTCTGGACTAATGTTTCCCCTCGCCCTAACTGGGTTTCCCCTCCTGAAGTGGTGGACCTCACGTTGGACGAGGACGCTGGGCACAAATATCTACTTTAAACCGTTCATGCACCCTGCCTAGTCTGACTTAGGCTGAAATCATTAGATAGAAGCCTAACCCTAACCTGCTCATAGACTCTTTGTTATCTTGGACTCCTATTTTTAACTCTCCGTTTATCAAAGCCATTCTACTGATGTGATTTCCCCAATCTCTGCTTGTCAACTATGATCCAGCTGTAATGAAATTGCCCAGTGCTGTAACTGCAAGTAGAAACTTAAGAGTGGGTTATCTGTTCTTGACAGCAATATCACCCCCCCTTTTGTTACCTCTTTCACTCCTCAATACCCGTGTCGGGTCATTTTTGTGCTTTAGAGTTAAATAAGGAGTTTTTGCTGCTGCTTTAGATTTGATCAGGTTCTCAACATGGCTTTTTATCTGCTTCACTGCACACTTTAAGTGGGATGTTTGAAACCTGATCTTCCTTTTTTAAAAGCATCATAAAGCAAGCAGAATCTGTTTTTTTTTTGTTTTTTTTATTATAGCCGAACATTAATGTAACAGAAGCTGAACAAAATATAAGGAGGGGGGGTCCTTTTAGAGGTCTCAACACTGGATGTGTTCCAATCAGTCAGCATTCATAGTTTGATTTGCACAGTCTCAGATAGAGGCACCACCTGCTTCGATTCTTTCAGGGAGTTATTTACTCGTATCTATGAGAAATGTTACAAAGATTAGTGTGAGGTAAAGGCGAGGATTAATAACACAAGCAATCTCAGATTTCTATCCAGTTCGCTTTAAAGCTCACCAAACCATCCTTGTATCCTGCAAACAGGATCTTGCTCTTAAACCTTAATTAAAAATAAACTCATTATCATTGAAGAGTTTCACTCTTGACTGATCAGGTTTTCAGCTAAACGTCTTCTCAGACCATTTTAAAATGAAAGTAATTTGCTATAAAATCTCCATTTATACCGAAAGACGAGCCAACAGTTCAGGCCTGACAGAAAGATCCGTTGTGGCTGATCCAGATTTAAGTAGGCTGAGGCTGTGCCGAATCTCCGCCCTAACCACTATATAGGGCACTATATAGTGCTTACGCCATTTTAGACATTGTCCGAATGTCTAGTGGATGAAAAAGTAGGGGACTAGAAATTTCCTACCATGCATCTTGAAAAGTAGGAAAAATAAAACTTGCATTTAATTAAACCCTTCAAAAATAACAGTTTTCAATCCTAAACTGATCCATCAACATGTACTTTAATGTTTTCTGTAGTTTTATTTTAATACAGATCTGAAAAGGAAACGGGTCAAGAATACCTACTTAAATACATAAATAGAAGGTAAACTGTAACTTTTATTTGCTGATCTTTCGATACTATTTCTTTATTAAAGAACCTAAGCCAAATTTCTGCTCTGATGCGTTTGATGTAAAGCAGGAAAATATTAAACCATCAAGCTGAGTAAGTCGTATAGACCTCAATCACAGCCTGAAAATGTGTCGACCGGGATAGCTCGTCGACGCATCTCTGAATTTGACCCCCGATTCGCCGGCTGCAGTGATCTGCCCACAGTTTTTTCCGCCGACCCCAACACTGTTTTCTCATTTAACATACAGAAGCAGAATACTCCATGAGCTTTTATGATTTAGATGATCACTCGGGGCAGATGCTTGAGTCAAACGTCTGTGTTTTAAATCTTATTCTCAGGCTGAGTCTCAGCTGTTACATCACTACCACAGAGGAAGAGAGCAGCACTGGTTTTCATTCCAACACGTTTGGCTCATTTCCACCTAGAAACTGGAGATGGACTCTCATGGTTGGCAAATAATGCATTGTTTAATATCCAGACTTATTAGTGAATGTATGACCTTGCAGTGCTGGCTCTGTTTTTACTGATTTGCATGCCTCTCTTGAGTGTGTGCATTCTCCCATATAAAGAAACAAACTCTGGGAAAACCTTTTTAAAAACAGGAAACATTTCTTCCCTTAAATACTGCTAAGCAAAGGTGGTCTGAATGCCTTGAAATGTGCACTATTTTCTTTTTAAAAATGTACAAAGCCTGTTATTTTAACTTTACACAGCAGTAGATTTTGCGGTCTCAACCACACATATATTTTAATAATATTTGTGAATTTAGCACATATATGAATATATTAAAGTAAAAGGGTTGAGCTTGTGCTCACCTGTGAGTTGTTTTGTTTTCTCTTTAGCGTCCTCAGGGCCTCCCTGCTTCTTCGCTGCAATCAAACCCTGTCCTAATGTCGCACTGCAAACAAGCTGGTGAATTTCTATCAATAGAGAACACCTTAACAAACTGTTTTTGCTACACTCATGTATCATTTACTTTAACCCCATATTACAGGATTTCCACGAGAACTTTGGCAGATTGCGAGGGAAAATTCTTCATTTTAGCAATCTAAACCAAAGTCTAAATGGAGTTTATGTTCTCAGTCTGTTTTTATTTTATTGTTTAAATGTAGGTTCCTGTATGCATTCAAGCCTTTGTAAATTTGGGGGAAAAAATCCTGTTTTAGAAAAAAAAATATATGTTGTGTATTTAAAAAGATTATCTGTTTTATTTGGCCAGTTTTTTTTTTCTGCTCTTTGAAGCGTCAACCTTTACATTTCTGCTTGCAAAATAAGCTCTATTAGTTTGTTGGTGAGATATTACACATCATCATTTATGGTATTGGCAGGCAAACATGGCAGGGATGCCTGGCAGTTGTTTTACATTGCATGTTTATTAGCGTTTTTCTAAATCCAGGTCAGAAACTTTGCTTATTACAGCTAATTCAGCTTTGCTCTTCTGTTGTTTTTATTCAGTCACTCAGTATTTTTAACTAGAAATGTATGGTTTATTTTTTGTCCTTGTTGCTTCTGCAAGACCCTGACTTCCTTGAAATCATGTATGTAGAACAAAAGAAACTATTTTAAGAGTAAATAAATAGTATTATTTAATGATCTCTTCTACATGTGTTTGCTTTCACAGAACTTTCAATTTTTAGATTAGAATGTCAGAAACATGCATGAAACCAGAAGGAAGAAACCTGCTGTTGTGTAGGAATTTGTAGTTCGAACAATTTGTCCTTTGCTAAATTGCCTGTTTTGGCATTGAAGTACTTCCTGAAAATCAGAAAACTGATGACTGACTTAAAGATTTGTTTAAAAAGACCTGCAAAGGATTTCTGAGCCTCTAATGGTCTAAACTGTAGGCTAAACTGTCAAGGTGAAGACTGCTCAGCTGACAGATGAGCCATCACCAACACCTTCCAGAAGGGTGCTCAGTCGCAAAAGGTTACTGTTAAATAAGCTGGTTTTAAAGAGTGCTTTATCCAATAATTATAGAAAGGTAAGTGGAAGGAGAAAGTGGAATAAAATTTTTATTTCCTTTTTCACTCAGACCTCGCCCCTGCTCACACTGCAAAAGGTACCAAAAGCTGGTCCAGTGACTGGCGCTACTGTGCTTAACTCCCCAGCAAACTTAATTTTTTGGTATTATATCAAATATTCAAATTAGGAGACACTGGAGCTCCAATTTGCATTTTTTTAAAGAAGGAAATAACATTTTTAGGGCTGAAACAATTGGATTAATCAATGATAGAAATAATTGTCAAGTAATTAAATAATTGAGAAATGGAGTATAGAGATGGTAAAATATGCTTTTAGCTGACAGAGCAAACCTCTTAGTGCAGTAATTATAGCAAAATTGTTAAGAAAGATATATATATATATATATATATATAGAATCATTTTACATTTCAGTAAAAAAAAAATAATCCTCTATATGCTGTATCCTGAATCTTAAG